TCCCTTTTCTCTTTCCCCAATGCAATCGAGACTAGCTCGTTGTTCTAAACCTTTAGGTTCCCATACCTTTAAACCCGTGGACATGCTACATCCGTTCTACCGCAAACAGGTAACGCCTAAGTCTCCAATGGTCGAGCAGCAAAACACCTAACTGCTAGAATGCGTACGCTGGTATCGTCTATCTTTTCTCTCGCTCCCCGTGCGATTGAGAATACCCCGTTTTCCCGTAGTTAGCCGAACTACGCCTGATCTGATTTCTCATACTCGTTGAAAATACGTAGGCATAGGATTGCGATAATCCTAGCGAGCACTTTTCCTCCTTTCCCCTTTTAGTGTCCTCCTATGTAGGGGATTGTCACCTGCTAGCAACAATGGTTAAAAACGGTTAGGGATAGGAGTGAAGGTTTGGATGAGTGTCGAATTGGCGGTGATAATGGAAGGTGTGACACAAGTTAGTTTTATTTGGACCCCATTGTGGATGCCACTGTACTTATCAAAAACTACAAATTCATGGCACCCCTATGCATTTTGGGGCAGCCAAAGGCTTTAAGGAATTTTAGTGGTTTCATGGGAAGCTCGTGGTTGTGAGTAACCCTATTTGGTAGTATTTTAGGTGTGGAGAGAGCAATTTCATGTGATGTGAGAAACTTTATATTTTAGGGGTATTCATGTGTATTCTAAATTGTCATTCCTCAATCCCGTTAAGGCGGCTTAGTTGTTAGCTGTAGAGACATCAAGTGCATGAACGCGAGTTTGAACCCGCGACATCTCACTTGTTCGTCTTTAATAAGGTGAACTCTGGTCACTAGGCTTCTTAACAAAAAAAAAATCATCATTTTATAGATGATGACTTTATAGAGGCCAATGAGTTTGGATTTGGGAATCCCTAAGAAGTAGTAACCTTTCCACTTTAACTAGGGACGTCCCACTTTGATTAAGGAAGTTGTTGACTTCGTATTTCTTAGAGAATCATGACCAAAACTTCATGCACATGCAGTCATAGTTTATATACATGTAACTTCCCACGTTTCCTATCAGGGCGAGTAACCAGCGAAGCGAGGCTTATGTTTGGCGCCATTTTCTGAGGTGATCGCCTTATGAGTCTTAACACAATATCGACTTGTCATGGACCCTTACAAATATATCACTATAGTTAGATATTTGATAATTTAATAGATACTAAGTACCTTTTATTGACTGACTTTTTTGTCACTAAATCGATAAAAAAAAAGAAGCTATGTCACGCAATGCTAACATGAATGCCACATATGCATGGATAAAAATAACTAACAATATATATAGTTAATGAGTCATTATAATTTTTTTAAATTATAAAACTAAAATAAACCATTTATAAAGATAATTAGACTAAACAAAAAAGTGTTAAACCTAAATAATATTACCTTCGTTCTCTTCGTTCTTTTATATAAGATCTCTTCGTTCTTTTACATAAGAGACAACTCACTTTTTAAGTTCATTGAATTATCAATATATCTGGTCTATAAATTACCAAATACATTAGTTATTCAATAAATCTAAAAAAAAAATTGTCATTTGTATAAAAGAACGAAAATAGTAATAAATATAATGAAAAACAAACATTACTATTTCATTACAATTGTAAATTACTCTCTATCCCAAAGGATAAAAATCTTTTTAGTTAAAAAAAAATTGTCCTAAAATAAATTCTTTTTTACGTTTTCAATTCAACAATAATTAATTTTTAACAACTTTTATCTTTATTAAATATTATCTACACAACTTTTAAGATATTACTATTAAATATTGTCTACACAACTTTTAAGATATTACTAAATAGTAATTAAAGACAGTTTAGTAATTAAAAGACGTTTATTTTAAAACAGACAACTTTTAAGATATTACTAAGAGCAACTTTAACGCAGGGTTGTTAGACAACTTTTAAGATATTACTAAGAGCAACTTTAACGCAGGGTTGTTAAACCAAAATTTTTTATAGCTTACGTTAGTAATAAGGAATTTGCATTATAGGAGAGCTGACATGGCATCCAAATGAACTAAAATTTAGTTCTCATTATCTATATAGTTAACGTTAACTATGTGAAACCTATTATAATATTATTTAATATTAATAAAATATTCCAAATATTCCAACAACATTAAAGTAAGGGTATGATATTTGAAAATAGTAACGGTCATATTATCATTTTTTACCTTCTATAAATTCTATAGAAATTTTAATTTTTTTTACACACAATTTTATTTCTAAATTTTTTTCTTTCAATTTCCAATCTTATTTATTTATCAAATAGATCACAACCAATCGAATCCTTATTATAATTATATTCCTATGAAAATGTAATTTTTGTTATGTATTATTGTTGTGAATTTTGTATCATTTTTAATTTTATAATAAAATATATTTAATATTATTTTTAAGTTTTTAAGGTAAATTTTATTTAAAAAATTATATGTATTTTAATTAAAATAATTAAATTAATAGTAACTTGAATAAAAAATATAAAATGTGGGGTCAAGTTTTAGTTTCTTATAGACAACCACTATTAAAGTAAAAACTACTCAAATCAACTATAAATTTTTTAAATCCTACAAATCACTTTGAGCCCACAAAAAGTATCTTAGTTTACCCATTTAGTTTACTCCCACTAAATATGCTCTAATAGTAATTAAAGACAGTTTAGTAATTAAAAGACGTTTATTTTAAAACAGAGGACTTATAGTTTGAAATGTACTATACCACCCTAGACACTACAACAAAACATGATGCATGACTAAGGCAAGTATAACTTTAAATAATGTTGTCGGTTCCGTATAGCTTAGACCTCTAAAAAGATTGGTACATGATGAACCTCTATTTTTACACCATTGGACTAGAGTATGCCATCAAGTTTTTTAGAGATTATATCGGCCACTATTTTTATGCTAAAATCTAAATATTAATTTCACTTGGTTCCTCTTTCCTATACATTTTTTTTGTTGACAAAAACCAAAATGACTTTTTCATATCATTCGAAAGAATGGGTTCAGTATTTGAAATCACTGATCAAATTTTGAAGAATGGTGACTTCTGAATAATACATCCTAGATCAAATCTGATAAACTAACATGCTGCTATTTGATTGTCAGTTTTCTCAAGTAACAATCTTCCCCTTGTAGATCAGATCTGTTAAATTGATGTTATAAATTATAAACCGTTTAATAAACCACATAAGGTATAGTTCACAGATATTGTTAACCAATCTTAACACAAGCAGCAATGAAGGTCGAGTCAATTGGTGAATCGAGCTCCATATTAGTGCATGAAATTGATCATGATCAGTTGCAAGTATAACTCCAGCATAATCAATTTAAATGAATCCTCTCCCAATAACAAAAAGAAATGAACATCTAACATAAGGGAAAAAATAAATAATTTCTCAAAACATGTTTCTATTATCCATTTCTCAGCAGAAGAATAAACACTACAGAACAGAATCTTACAACATTAGTAAATCGTAGTGGTATGTATATATATTAAGAGCAACAACAAATTACAATATAAAACAAGGGTAGATATGTACATAAGGAAGCTGTGAAACTGAACTGAAACTATGACAGCTAAACAGGAGGTATGTTAGAGAAAGAGAACCCTTTGTAACCTTTGTAAGCATAATATGCAATCCGTGTGTAGTAGAAACCCGGTATGAACAATAACATTCCCAGTATTGCAAAGAATATACCTATCAAACCAACCAAATACAAATTTCAAAATCAACCACAACAAAATATCATAGAAAGCCAGCTAATTAGCTATACTCTGGTCATGTGCCAGTTGAATTTCAGTTTAAAAATAGATTTTCAACTTTAGCTGAAATCTGTCTCAAACAGAAAGCTGAGTTGATGAATTTGGGAAAGTCAAGAGAGTTCTGATCAAAAGGTCTATAGTTCAAGCACCATAAACTAACAGAATCATTAATTTTCTAACATTTATCCATAAAAAAAATTGAATTAATGAACTTATGCACAAGTTGGTCCCTTAACTGGACAAAGTTACTACAAGTTGGTTCATTCCTTCAAAATACACGTTAACAGTCCTCTCTCCGTCCCATCATGAGTGATCCCGTTGACCATTTCAGTCAGATTAAAAAAGTGTATAAATGAAGGAGAGAATAGTGGTTTTACTAAAATACCTCTTATCAAGTACTGAGAATTATGAAAGTGATAGTAACTAGAGGGTAGAATTGGAAAAAGTATTAACATTGTATTGGAAATTGAAAAGGATCATTCATTTTGAGACAATTTTATTTTACAAATGGATCACTCATTGTGGAACAGAGAGAGTATCAGTTTGCGCTGGTGTGGAAAATCCAATCTGACACGGGAATAAGGGTTACGAGACTCCTTTTCTTCTTCTTCCCCAAATCAAAGTACTTTTCCTAACATAGATTTGGGTTTTTACAATTAAGGAATATCATCTCCTTCCTCAAATTCTTCTAACGTTTTTGTAATTGCGAATCAAGATGTCCAACAATTGTCCTTCCCCATGGTGCTCACGAGCATAATCATACAAAAACCACAACAACAATATCTATGTTTTATAATACACAAAGAAACCCCTAAACCAACGATGCAAACTCTATCCATATAAGAACATACACACAATCTAGTGGTCAACAAGAAAGTGCAGAGTACAAAATCCAGAAAAACCTAGAAATTAACATATTTTCTATCAACAAAATTGAAGCAAAAAACTAGCAGCAATCAGTACAATTCAATCAAATAATCAGAAATTGAGCATATTTGTGTGGGAGAAAAGTGAAAAGATAGCTACCATGAACAGTGTCACCGCCGACATGTTTATAAGCCATGACGAAACCGATGATGATACTGAGAAAACCGAAGACGAGAAGCGAAACGGCGAGGGCGATCTCCTTGATTGGGGGTTTGTTGTTGACAGTGTACGAGGTTCCTATCATGATATCCTCGTCTGAAATCGAAAACGCGTGATCCACGTATGCCATTGTTATGTTTCGTTGTAGCTAGCTCTGTGTTTGTTTCTGTGGGTTTTGATTCTTTGGTTTGAGATTTGGATGGGGAAGGAGGTTGTTTGGTGGGTTTTGGGTGGGTTGAGTTTAGAACTTTAGATGGATTTAGCTTTCAAGATGCGTTGTGTTTTAATCGAGGTTTTTAGTTTGACAATTAAGTTAACTCATCTCGATACTTTTATTAAAATTTGATTATGATATTTATTTTAAAACAAGTTTTACTTACTAAAACAACACTAATTAAAATAATTAAGATAATTAATTAAGTATAATTAATTTTTTTATTTAAAATTTACAATGATATCTATAGTTATATTTAATGAATCAACTACCCATCTTATATGTTTCTGAAATAAATAAAGGATATGTTCATGATATAAACATTAATTAATTTAAAAGTTAATAACGTTTAGTGACCAAAATTTAAGATATTTCTTCTTTTAAATAGTGATACAAGGAATACACATGCGATATTTATATGATAAATAGTAATTTTTTTAATAATAATTTTAGATTTTCTTTTAAATAAACAATTATTTTGTAATTTAATATAATATTATATCATTAATCAATTTTATAATTTAATGAATCTTAAAAACATACATTATTAATTAAATATTTTACTTATAATTTATTAATTATTTTTACTACTTCCTTAATCAACAAAAATATATATATCATTAATCCGTTTTAGATATTAAATTATGGATTATATTAATCAATTTTTTATGCTTTATTAACCAACTTATTTTAATAAAGACTAATTTTTTTTTAATGTTTGAGAACTCATTAACTAAATTATGAAGTGTATTAACTAATTTATTTAAATATTATTTATCAAAATTGATATACCATGTAATATTTTTTTTATGTTAGGACATTCAATAACTATAAATTATATTAATTAATTTTCTACGCTCAATTAACCAACTTTATTTTTTTATTTAAAATCATTTTTTAATGTCAGTATACATATTAATCAAACTATGAATTGTACTAATCAAGCGCTTACACACCAATAAACAAAGTTGTTTTTAAAAAAAGAGAGAAAAAGATATAAAAAAATAAAAAATATGAATGACATTATTCACCGTATTTTTGACAAATGGTGACATATGTTGTAGATGTGAATAATTTGTGCCAAAATAGCATTTTCTTCCTTTTTTCATACTTAAAACAATGTATTCCACGTGTTTCTAAAGAGGAATCAAACATTTTCTCTCTATAACTTCTTGTGTTTCTCCCCCTTTTTTCTTTTAGGATTTTCTTCGAATCTAATTCGAGCTTTGTCTCCCTACTTTATAGTACCAAATGTTTTATCACCTCAGATTCCTTATTGTGGTTTTCCTTTTTTCATCTAGGGTTCTTACTATGAGATGTTGGATCGAATTCTAGTATGGCCGAAGGGTAGCTTCTGGTTCGACAGAAATTAAGCATAATGAGTGTTATAGTCGAAGTTTGTTCTAACATGCATTAGTCAATATTGCTAGAGTTGTTAGCATGTTAAATTAAGTCTTGCTTGTAAGCCCAATTGTTTAAGTTAACTTGTACCCTAAGTTAGCTTGTAATGGATAATTGTTAAAAAGCCCATTAGGTTAGTGTGCTATTTTTCTTATAAATAGGATGTTAGTTTCTCAATCTTGTCATAAGGATAAATAGGAAGATAAAATCCTAATTTCAAGAGAGAGAGGTTATTTTGTTATTCTTGTATACTTGTAATCTTGTTCTAAGAGAAAGGAAAGAATAACTGTTTATAACCAATCCTTGTTGTTCCTTGTTGTTTTACCTTGTCTTATTTGTTAATCCTAACCCTTGTGTGTTTCTTGATCATTAAGAAATCGTTTTATACTTTGTTTAAAGACATCTGATTCACAACAAGTTGGTGCGGTGAGCGTGGAGAAGATACCTTCAACAAAGTATGAGATTGAAAAGTTTACCGGAGTGAACGACTTTGGTCTGTGGCGCTTGAAGATGAAATCCCTATTGGTTCAGCGGGGTTGTTTGAAAGCGTTGAAGGGTAAGGCAGCCATGGACGCTGCGTTAACGGAAAAAAGAAAAGACGGGCATGATCGAGAAAGCCCACAACGCAATATTGTTGAGCCTTGGTGATAAGGTTCTTCGACAGGTATCAAAGGAGGCTACAACATCGGGATTACGGGTGAAACTTAAAAGTTTGTACATGACCAAATCTCTGGTGAATCGACTCTACCTGAAGCAAACTTTATATTCATTCAAGTTGAGTGAAGACAAAATGTTGGCTGAGCAGTTGGATATGTCCAACAAGCTGATACTTGATCTTGAAAATATTGATGTGAAGATCGATGATGAAGATCAATCACTGTTATTGTTGTGTGCTTTGCCCAGAACACATGCTCACTTCAAAGAAACTCTCTTGTATGGAAGGGAGTCCCTGAACTTTGAAGAAGTTTAATCATCCTTGTATTCTAAGGACTTGAACGAACGAAAGGAGCATAAACCTTCGACGGTGGGTGAAGGTTTGACCGTTAAGGGAAAATTCTTGCGAAAGGATGGTAAGTTCGACAAGAAGAAAGGTAAAATTCAACAGAAATATTATAGTGGTGAAACATCTGGTATTCGATGTTACCACTGTAAGAAGGAGGGTCACACAAGAAAGGTGTGTCCTGAACGCCTGAAAGATCATGAAGGTAATGGCAACGCAACCATTGCTCAAGATGACTTCGACTTATCTGATGTTCTTGTGGTTTCAAGTGGCGACTCGAGAAAAGACTAGATTACAGATTCAGGTTGCACTTGACACATGACTCTAAACAGAGAATTGTTCGAGGAGCTATATGATCAAAATGGTGGATTTGTGCTGCTGGGAAACAACAAATCTTGCAAAATTGCAGGTATTGGATCTGTGAGATTCAAGCTCCATGATGAGTCAATAAAGTTATTGACTGAAGTCAGGTATGTACCTGACTTGAAGATAATTTTGATTTCTCTTGATGAATTCGACAGAAAGGGATACATTTTTCAAGGAGAGAAAAGTATCCTAAGAGTCATGAAGGGGTCGAAGGAAGTCTTGAGAAGCGTGAAGAAACAAGGCTTGTATACCCTTGAGGCTGATGTTGTAAGTGGTTCGACAAATGTTACATCCACGAAACCTGTGTCGAAGACAGAATTATGGCACATGAGATTGGACCATGTCAACAAAAGAGGCCTGGTCAAATTGGGGAAGCAGAACCTGCTAGGAGGTGACAGAGTCGAAAAGTTGGAGTTTTATGAATCTTGTGTATTTGGTAAATCTTGTAGGGCAAAGTTTGACAAAGGTAAGCAAAGAACACATGGATCCCTGGATTACATTCATGTTGATCTTTGGGGGCCTGCAAGGAATCATTCACACTCAGATGCAAGGTATTTTTTATCCATCGCTGATGACTATTCCATAAAGCTATGGGTATTCGTTCAGAAGACGAAGGATGAAACTTTTGAGAATTTCAAAAGTTGGAAGATTCTGGTCGAAACTCAAATTGGCAGAAAGGTCAAGAGGTTGAGAACCGACAATGGCCTTGAATTTTGCAACGAAGCATTTGACAATTACTATGTTGAGTCTGGGATTGCAAGGCATAAGAATGTAGCAGGTACTCCTCAACAAAATGGCTTAGCTGAGAGATTCAATTGAACAATCCTTGAAAGGGCTAGATGCATGCTGGTTAGTGCTGGATTGAAGAAGGTGTTTTAGGCGGAAGCTATTTCGGCAACATCTTACCTGATAAATAGATGCCCCTCGACTTCCTTAGGAATGAAGACACCTGAAGAAGTTTAGTCGAGACATCCACCTAGTCTCGACAGAATGAGAGTATTTGGCTGTGTGGCCTATGCTCACATTAGGCAAGACAAGGTCGAACCTAGAGCTCTGAAATGCATGTTCATGGGATACCCTGAAGGAGTCAAAGCTTATAGGCTATGATGCCTAAATCCAGGTCACGGGAGGTGTATCACCAGTCGAGATGTATTTTTTAATGAAGCAGTGATGACCTTCAAGAAAATTGATGATGCTGACGAAGAGGTAGAACAGGGAGAGATTCATGTTGAGGTGGAGCATGTTGATGCTGAATTACGTACCCCAGATGAAGTCGAAGAAGATGCAGAAGATGTTGTCAAAGATGAGGATATTGATAATGACTTCCTGCTAGCAAGAGACAGGTTGAGGAGAGTCATCAAGCCACCTCAGAGACTTGGGTATGCAGATCTTATAGCTTATGCCTTAATCTATACAAGTGAGGTTCTAGACGAAGAACCTAGAGACTATAAGGAAGTTATGAGGAGTTAAAAGAAGACTGAATAGATGAAGGCCATGGATGATGAGATGAAATCTCTTCATGATAACAACACCTGGTAACTGATCAAGAAACCTGCTCGAGCCAGGTTAGTCAGTTGCAAATGGATTTTCAAAGTTAAGGAAGGAATCAAAGGAGTGACGTTGAAGAGATACAAGGCAAGATTGGTTGGTAGGGGGTTCACTCAGAAAGAAGGTATCGACTTCAATGATGTGTTCTCTCCTGTTGTAAAGCATAGATCCATTTGAATGTTTCTTTCCACAGTGGCACAATTCAATCTTGAACTGGAACAGATGGATGTGAAAACTGCGTTCTTGTACAGTGACTTAGATGAAACAATCTTGACGAGGCAACCTGAAGGGTATGTCAAAAAAGAGAAGGAAGATTATGTGTGCAAGTTGAATAGATCCTTATATGGACTAAAAAAATCTCCTCGACAGTGGAATAGGAGATTCGACAAGTCCATGGCACGCATAAGTTTCATCAGAAGTCAGTTCGACCACTATGTTTACTTCAGATTTGACCGGGTAATTCATTTGTTATTTTGTTGCTCTATATGGATGATATTCTAATAGAAAGCGACAATGTCGAAGAGGTAATGAGGGTGAATGTTGAACTCAATAAGTAGTTCGACATGAAGGATCTGAGAGCTGCGTCCAGGATTCTTGGGAT